AAGGAGGAGAGACACAGTGAGAGAAAAACTGATGTGAGAGACACATTGATTCGTTGCCTCCCACACAGGACCTGGCCCAGGTCTGGGGATCGAGCCTGCAAACAAGGGGATCCAGCCTTCAACTGGAATTGAACCCTGGTCCTTCAGTCCGCGGGCCAATGCTCTATCCACTGAGCCAGACAGGCCAGGGCAGCTATTTGTTGATTGTGCCTTGACGGCTAGTGTTGTTCTTGGTGCCGAGCGACCTCACGGAACATCCTCAGGATGGGATTCTGGGATTATGGTGTCCATCTGTTTGCGCTTTAATGAGACGATATCTTTTCACGTGGAAAATGGGACTCCAGTTATCTCTGGACACATTGGCTCCTGTCCATCTGTTTGCGCTTTAATGAGACGATATCGTTTCAGGTGGAAACTGGGACTCCAGTTGTCCCTGGAATACACTGAGTTTTGGGGATAATTCTTTGCACAGCAATAGGCAAGGACCTAGGAAAAATCACCCTAAAGAAAGGTTGGTTGACTGACGCACAGACTGCATCCTAGAACCTTCTTTTACCCCCTATCTTCTTTCCAAAGACCTGGCCCATCATCGGCGTCTCTCTGGGATGGAGACGCCTGTGAGCCGAGGACCGCATGGTGTGCATCCAAATTACTGACCATCTTTCGGTGCCAACAAGGAGACAAGAGTTCATGCCAGCATGAGGGGCCGTTTATTGTTCTGGGTTTGAGCCCCCACGTTTGGGGGGAGCACCCCCACTACTTCCTCCTCCCATTGTCCCCGTGGACCCCTCAAGTGGCAGGTTGCTGAGCTGGTCATGGAGGGAGCACATCTTCAAGTGCAGATAGTCCAGGGAGGCCACCTTCTCCCTGCAACGACAGGCAGCGGGCGGTCGGTGCTGCTGGGCCCGGCTGCCCCGGGGCTGGTGGAGGGGGAGACTCAGGCCCGACCCCCAAGACCTCACCCTCCTCCCATGCCCTCAGCCTCCTTCCTCACTCCGGCTTCATCTTGTCCGTCAGCAGCAGGTTCTTGGCCCGCAAGGCTTCGTCTTGGGCCAGGCGCAGGGTGGAGCTCAGGGCCTCTGCCCTGACGTGCTTGGCCAAGGCCTGGCGCTCCAGCTCCTGGGGAGAGGGGCGTGGGCGCCGCTGGACTTGCCTGACTGGGCTGGGGGTGGAGGGAGCTGGGTCGCGGAGGGCCGGGGGCAGGGGCCCATGGGGCCCGCATTCCTCCCTCAAGGTACCCTATCATGCCTCCAGCGGACCCCAGCGTCCCACAATGCCCTGGCCTTCCAAACTCCCCTGTGTGCTGACCCTGGGGCTGCCCCTCTGCCTGTCCCCGGTGCCCTGGCCTTCTGTGTCCCAGCAAACACTAAACCAGCATCCATCTTAGTTTCCCCAAATGCCTTGGATATGTGTTTGGCCCCCAGAACCCCATCACGTGGTGGCCTTCTGCATCTCCTGAGACCTCCCATCTCCTGACACACAGAC